ATATATATATATATATATATATATATATATATATATATATATATTTGTGACGAAATCATGCCACTTGTTCTAGCCTTGTGCTTCATTTATTTGCTTTCTCCCCTCCGTTTGAAGGGGGAAAAGAAAAATTATGATTAGCCTTTGTTTTGGCGAAATACATCAACCTCGAAGGAACCAAGTTTTTAAATTACAACCTATTAAAACGAATCAAACAATAACAAATATATAAAATTAAAAATGAAATTAAAAAATAAAAATAATAACACACGGAAAGGGTTTAGAATGGTTCAGTTTAATGTCGCTTACATCTACAATCGCTCAGCATGCTCCAGCCCACATTCTTCATCTTCACAACCATTATGCATTATTCTCTCACCACTCTAAGGCCGTGGAGATTGTACCAACGTTCTTGGGAGCCTTATTGTGCCAATATGGTTGTGTTTAGGGTCACTCCGGATAATTGAAACATTATGGGATCATGATTGACGTGAAACCTCCCAATATGAAAGTTGGAGAGAAAGGTTGAGTCTTTATGTCAAATCATACCGAGTTGATCACGTATTTGACCATTTTCATTTGCCTCACGGGAATGCTCGTAACAAGCGATCACTTGCTTGTGGTGCGAGCAGCCTTGCTGCTCCGTGGAACCAAACTTGGTTCCATGAAGCCAGCCCTTGGTTGGTAAGGGCTGGCTACTATGAGTAGCCTTGTTGCTCAGTGGAACTAAGCTTGGTTCCGCGAATTAGTCGCATATGCTACCAGCTGTTGTTTGATCTAGTTGATTGGAAGATGAGTGTTCTAGTTGAGCTAAAAATTAGATTATTATGGTTATTTAAAGCTCCTTAAATAACTTAAAAATCATGGATTTAAGCTCTCCAACTTTTATCGAGATGATTTAAAGGGTTGATTTTGACTTGTGAAAATTGAGGTACAAGAGTTTTATATTAACATATATATTAGGCACACAACTATCATAATAATCATGTTATCTTGCCCACATAATGGCACATAGAAATAGCTGCAACCCAAAATGACCCCGAGAAAAAAAAAAAAAAAAAATTGCTACACGAATAATAATATTTTGTAAAATGCAAATTAGACTTGCTGGTTTTTGCTCGAGAATTAGACTTGCTGGTCAAAACTTGAACTTTGAGGTAACTCCAACATACATTTTCCCAACTATAAAAAAGAAATAAAAATCATTTCCAGAAATTATGAAAAAAAAAAAAAAGTTGCTTAAAATGGATATTTTCATTCATCCTTCCTTCTCGTGTTTTTCAAAAATCACAATGACAACCAATAATTTGTGAATCAAGTTGATGCTTTAATTGAAATATCACATTTCACTATACCATTTGGAAAAGTTGTATGATACGTGTCTCGTGTAAAGGTTGGTGTGACGTGTTAACAGAATCGTACGATTCCACCGTTACTGCGTTTTTTCTTTTCTTTTGTTTTTTTTAAGGAGATTTGTACTGTATTAATTTTAAAACATGAAAAAATGAATTATTAGTAAATTTGTACATATATAATTGAGTTATTAGCATAAATAATCCTCAACTTATTTAATAATTATTTAATTCTAACTTTTTTTTAGATAAATTGATTCTTAACTTTTTAAAATATGTATAATCTAATATTTTTTGTCAAGATTCATTCAAAAATTAACGACCTAATACACGTGACCCAGATTGTTAGTGGAAAAATAAAATTGCCCGTTTAAACTCTTCTTTTATTCTTATTTTTTGTTTTTTTTTTTCCTGAATAACCGCAACTATGCATTTAGTTCCCCAATTGGTACTATTCTGTTCATCTTCTTCATTCACTTTGAGGGAAATAGGGTTTCAGCGATATTCAGAGAAAGGGATTTTCCTCTCTGAGGGATATTCTTCAATCGCACATTTCTTATTCCGAAATATTCTTCAATCGGCAATGGCGATGACTAAGGGAAAATCTGACGAAGATGGTCGTCCGGCGAGAAAAAGGAGATAAGCCACCTATTTATTGTGAGTTTCCTAGTTTCTGAACCCGATTTTTTTTCCCTTTTTGTTGGTTGTTTTCTATCAACGTAAATGAGAACCTTTTTTGGATAATTTTATTTTTAGGGATTTGAAGTTGGTGTATACTATTTAGTGTGGAGAATATTATATAGTTTGATTCAGTGCACGAGATAGTGCCTGATGTGGGTTTGTGATTATGCTTCATATTCATATATAGATGGGCAAATACATTACATAAAAACCAACCAAATACAAAAAGTTTTACATTACAATTTCATCGTACAAACAAGAACCACCATTACAATAATGAAGAAATATTTCCATTTACACACCATGCACTCTCTAGGATTAATTAGTTTTTGCATTGCCTTCAATTAATTCTCCAAAAAAATTTATGTCACGGTGGGTATTCTGCATTTCCTCAAATTGAGCCTCCAAATCATTAACCCTTCTCAGCAACCCAGATATGATAATATTTGCTCTTCTACACATTGGTGGGTCTTTCCAGTAAAAATAGTCACAAGGACGATATCCACCGCGCTAGAAAAGTATAGAGAAGAAGGGGATTTCAAACATAAATCCAAAATTTCAGACTTTCAACAATTTATTAAATTAAAATCATACCTTACCCTATATAAATGGCACCTATAAAATCTTTTTCCAAGGTTCAAGTCCATCCAATAAGTGATCATCTTCGTCAGTTTACGAATCTTATAATCACACAATGGGTTTTCTTTCATTCCAGCACTTGCAGCCCCTAAATCAAAGTAAAAATTTCACAAACCATAGAATTTTTAAACTTAAAAATCAGCCTCAATTCCAGCTACAAGTGTTTTTATACATATACCCTAACAATTTGAGTCATGTGAGTGGTCACGTGCATTGGGTCATTACGGATCTTGATAAAAATGACCACATTACACATATTTTAAAAGGTTGGGGGTCAATTTATAAAAAAAAATTAAAGACTAAACTGTCACTTACTAAATAAGTTAAAGGACTTTTTTGTTAATAACCATATATAATTTTATTTTTATGTAATTTTTATCAAATTCAAATAAAAATCTTATTAAAAAACTTTTTTTTAATAAGCTATCTTTTATTTATTCTGCAAACACTCGCTCTCTTTTTTTTCCTACATGATTATGATTAGAGGACATTTATCATTTCAGGAAACCTATTTAGCCAAAAAAAGAAGTCGGAAATTTGAATCGAAACCAATTCCATCGGAAAACAATTAACAAAAATTAATAAAAAGAGGACGAAAAACACACATATAGAGAAACATCGTCGCCAACGGTGCAGAAGACAAAGAAACGTTTCGGGAATAAAAAATTAATATATAAAAACAAAAACAAAACAAAAAAGAAATAGGTTAATCTGTTAATGGCAAATCATCGTAATTAAATTAAACGTCAGGGGCAATTTAGAGTGGTGGCAAGAAAATATCTAGCCACCATCTTCCTTAATCAAACGTAGAGAGAAATGTCTGGAACTTTCTTCCTTCATATCTTCTCCTTCACCCGCTTATAGCCCTTTCTCATCACAAAGATATTTTCTCTCTCTAGCCTATAAAAAGTCTAGTTTCCCTCGAAAAAAATAAAAAATAAAAATACTCTCTCTCTCTAGCCTATACAAAAGTCTAATTTCCCTCGAAAAAAATAAAAAATAAAAAATAAAAATACTCTCTCTCTCTCTCGCCCTTTCCTTTTCTCCCAAAGATATTCTCGCATTTCTGGTCTCTGTGTTCTCTTTCTCTCTATGGTCTGAGAAAATATACATCGGACTCGAATTTCTTCTTGTGCGAGACGAGAAGAGCGTTATAGAGAAATCTTTTTCTTTTTTTGGCTTTTTTTCTCTGTCGTTTCTCTTTCCCGTTTGATGGATCGGGGAGGATCCAACGGCGGATCGTGCTACTACGCCGTCCTCGGGATTCGCAAGGACGTCTCCTTCGCTGATGTCCGCACGGCGTACCGCAAGCTCGCTTTGGTTAAGTACCGCCAAACGACGGCGTTTTGTTCTCTCTCTTTCGTCTTCGGATTTTCTTATTCTTTTCCTTCGATTTCTCACCGGAATGTTGTGTATATTTTCTTCTCTTCACCTGATTCAGAAGTGGCACCCGGACAGATGGACTCGCAACCCCGCCGTCGCCGGCGAGGCTAAACGAAGGTTTCAGCAAATCCAAGAAGCTTATTCCGGTAAACAAAAAAAAAAAGAGAAAATAATTTTCTTTGAAATAATTGCATTGATGGCCATTGATTTTCAGTTTCTGCGGATTTGCAGTTTTGTCTGACCAGACGAAGAGGTCAATGTACGACGCAGGGCTCTACAACCCCCTGGAGGAAGAAGACGAAGTCCGTACTCTCTCCTTGATTATTCTTACCAGGCTTTTTTCAGCCTACACAAGGCGTGGTAAAAGAATTAGAATCAGGAAAACGATGTCGTTTTGAGCAGGATTCATTCCCAATCCCAACTGATTTTGATTATTTCCCGAAACGAAAACGACGGCATCGTTTTCTCTCACTATTCGCTTATCTATTTTCTCCTCTTTCAGGTCCTTTTTGTCAAGAAATTCAAAGATTTTATCGACATTTGATCTGAAAATTGGAAACTTTCTTTTTTTATTTTCCTATTGATTGATATCTTAAACTACTAAAAGTTTACCTTCTTTATGTGATTTCCTTGTGTGCCCTTGAATTATTTTTTATTCAGGAATTTTGTGATTTTATGCAAGAGATGATTTCCATCATGAACAATGTCAAAGACGAGGTAGAGTTTTTCCCTTTATTCTATTTTATTCTTTTGCGGGCAAAACTGTAATTTTTGCGTCATATTATGCCCCACAAAATTTTTTTCTGGTTTCTGATACTTTTGCTGGGAAAAAATATCTTAGGGAGATAGCTTTGAAGATCTCCAAAGGATGTTCGTGGAAATGGTCGGCGGTGATGGGACGAGCTTTGACCTCAAAGAGGATCCGACGGCCACCAAGAAGGCGCGTGTAAATGCGTCCAAAAGTAGCGCGGCAAAGCGCAAGTGCAACGCGTCCCGCTGCTAGTTGATGGTGCACCGGGTTAGCGTGGAACTTCATGTGTCTGATAACCACCACTCTTCTTTGCCTTGATTGTTTCCCCTAAATCAAAGATGTTAATTGGATGGGGTAGTTTGGTTCTTTAGGACTGTTTTTTGGTAATTAATTAATAACAATTTCCCCTTTTTTCTTTTTTTGTTTCTTTGGGTCTACTTTTATATTGGATTGATTACACATTATTGTTCGTGTTCTTTCATTTTGGTTGATCTAAATGACAATTGTCAGGGCCTTTTGCATGCCTCCACACTTGCACGTTCTCTAATGCTACTTGTTAGTGCCAAGTCATGTATTTTGCACGTGTAGAACAAAGATGAACACCTGTTTCCTGCTAAATAATTGTGCGAGGTCCTAAGCATGACATTATATGAATAATGTCAGTGACATGAAATCTCGTATTAATTTATGAGGTATTATAATTTTATTAGTAATTGATTTAAAAGATGGTCACATCAATCTCATTCTATTAATAAAATTATCACTGAGTTGTATAAAAATTGTGCTTATAGTTGAGATTCTTAGGCCCTGTTCGTTTGTCTTAATTTACTCAAGAAAGGCCCACTTGAATGCTGAAATTGATCCAAGTTCACGTTCGGTGTTTGAGAACTTAAATTCGAACTCGAAAATTAATTCGAGTTACCAACCCATTTCTGAGTTGCACTCTTCCCTGCTATTCGAGTTACTTCTTTGCACTTTTACAGTGCGGATTCTAAGATCTATTTCTTCTTCCTACACTGTCGTTTCACGTGGTTCTCTTGTAAGCGATATTCTCTGGAATTCTTCTCGCTTATCGTTTGACCAACAGCCATGATCTGCTCCTTCAACGTTATACCATTCGATTTCTGAGAGCTGTGTATTGTTGAATCACTATTTTCCCCCAATCCCAGATTTCAACCCTACCCCACAATTTCGGTTCCCATATGCATCTTTTGTGTCCCCCTTCCCCCACCATTGTCATCGTTCTTGTTTCTCCTTTAAAACGGGGAAATTTGTGGGGACTTCGTTGGTTCGGCGACCTCGGTGGGTGAACATCGTACTTCGATGTAGAGGCAATAGTGCGCGCCGTAAAGCTCTCCAGCCGAGACGTCAAAACCTACTTCCCTTACCTCTGTCGTCGCCGGTACTTCAAACTTGCTAACCCTTCCTCGCGTTTGGGGAATCTCCAATGGAACCCAATCTCCTCCTCCATAGGCTCCAATTCGATAAGTCTTTTTCAAAGGCTTATGATCAGTTTATGGGAAAAACTCATTTCAGTTTCGGATGATTTTTCGGTCTCTAGTTTGCATTCCGAGCACTAGTATTTTGGTGAATTCATTATGTTCATCGGAGCACTAATATTTACCCCTGTTTGTTCAGTTTCTGGAAAAAAAAAAACAGAAACTGTTTCTGGTGATTTCAGAGTTTCTGCATTCGTAGAACTAGTATTTTGGTAAAATCACATGACTTTTGAACTTTAATGAAATTAGTCACATATCGTGTGATAACCTGAAATTTTATCATGCAAATCTTTACTGTCTTCCAAAATCTTCTAAAATCCTTGAAAATCATGATATTCTCAAGTACCCTAAATTTGAGGACTAGGGACTAAAGCTGCTAGGAAAAGAAATTCTTTAGGCTAACCGGCCGAAGAAAAAAGTTTAAAAAAAACAAACCGTCACACTTCAATTTAGGAACAGAGAGTGCTAAAAACTCTTAACATAATTTAGGTACACTTGGAAGTATAAAAAGTTACCTGGATTCTTAAACTCCTCTTTGTTGCTCTATATCAGAAAGAGTGAAACCATCTCCTTGAGTCAGATAATGATATCTGTAACGCCTAAAGAGTAACAAAAGATTGAGAAAACACCCAATAGCATAACCAACAATCCACATCCTCATAGGCCAAACTGGCCTCTCCTTCTTGGATATGGCCAGAGTAATCGTTGTGATGCTAATTTGAACAAGCAAAGCGTTTCTGGTGATTTTTTTGGTGATTTCAGCCTCTAGACACTCGGCTTACTAGTATTTTGGAACCCCATTTTGTTCAGTTTCTGGGAAAAAAAAAAAACATAACTAGACTTCACAGTATATAAACAGACTTCATCGGCTCACTAGTATAGAAACGGTTTCTATAATTGCATTCTTAGAACTAGTATTTTGGTAAAAGCTATTGGTAGTTTGTCGGAAAAAACATTATATGGTTTCTGGTGATTTTTTTAGTAATTTCAGCCTCTAGACACTCGGCTCACTAGTATTTGGGAACTATTTTTTGTTCAATTTCTGGAAAAAAAAACCAGAAACTGTTTCTGGTGACTCTTGCCCCCATCTGCATCTGGTTGTATGAGTTTGTACTTTGTTCTGTTGTAGTTTGGGAACCATTTGAAGAGGGACAGGAAGTGTCTTTTAGAAGAAACCTTTTTAAATCAACTTAAAACATGGATGAACCAAACACAACCAAAACTTGAACGAAAACCAGAAACAAAACGAATTGAAAGAGGGACAGGAAGTGTCTTTTAAAAGAAACTTTTCTGAATCAACAAAAAACATTGATGAACCAAACACAAACAAACTTGAGCAAAAAAAAACAGAAAAAACCAACTCCAAATGAGGGACATGAAGTGACTTCTAGAAGAAACTTTTCTGAATCAACATAAAACAATGATGAACCAAACACAATCAAACTTGAATGAAAACCCAGGAAAAACTGACTCCCAAAGGAGGGACATGAAGTGTCATTTAGAAGAAATTTTTCTGAATCAACATAAAACATTGATGAACCAAATAGAATCAAACTTTAATGAAAAACCACGAAAAGAAAAAAGACTCCAAACAAATGACGGGCATGTTCTGTTGTAGTTTGTACTTTGTATTGATATGATTATTGATCATCAATCGCTGTGCAGTTTATGTTGATACCTGCAGTGTTTTTATATTGCTCATGTGTCTATTTGAAACCCATGTTGTGCAGTTTTTGAAAAAAATCAGAAACTGTTTCTGGTTTTTTCAGTTTCTAGATTGCATTTCACCATGGCTATGACGATGTAATTGTATTTAATGGCCTAGTTCATTATGTCGAGTGATATTCGATGGTTGGTTAATAATTGGTTGCCGATTGATCCCATTAGTCTTAGTTGGTATGGTTGATTTAATTCACTTTGAATGCCTTGCTTGAGCATTCTGCCGACGTTAGCTAATACTTTGGTAGCATATTGGTTGCCGGTTTATGCATAACTTCATGGCATAATGTTCGTTTACTTTGGGTTTAAAGTGTATTGCCAACCTACCACTAAGATTAATTGAACATAAACCTTGGTAGCCTAATTGCCCTAGCCTAGGATAATGCTCCATAATAGGACGATGAGGGCCATTACACAAATCTAAGCCTTCTTCCAACATCCGAGCTCATTAAATGAATTTTGTATGCTATGTACATACGTATTGCTGCCATATCGGTATTGTCAATACTTAGATGGCTATGAGAAGGAGAGATAGAGATGTAAATTGGAGCCCAGAAGCTGAGGAGCAACTGCTCAGACGTCTAGGTGAGTTCAATTTATTGAACTCCGCCGGTACCACTCCGAACCGAGAGAAATTCACGCAATGGGCAACGGAGCTAAGTAAACATTTCAGCATCCCACTTGGTTGGGATAAAGTTAAACAAAAAACTGCTAGGTTGAAAAAAACGTTCGAAGCAGAGTTCCTACTTCGGACTGCTACTGGCCTTGGTTGGGATCCAATTGAGAAGAAACCAACGTGCACCGATCAATATTAGCAAAAATTTGTCACTGTAAGTTCATCGTTTGTTTTCTTTAATTGTTTTACGCTTTGCTGTCTTACTTGATCATTGAAGAAAGGGGATTTTCCATATTGTTTGCATTGTCATTATTACTGTATATGCAGAGCCATCCGAAGGTCGAAAGGGCTAGAAGGAAGCCGTTGCCGGATTATGATTTGTATTTTTGTGCATTTGTGAATTCACGTGCAACCGGTGTAAATGAGTACGGCCAAGATGAAACCCCTATAACTCCCCCACATCCCCCAGAGCCAATCCCAGGCAGCCCAATTGACATTGATGGCGGGTCCCAACGTTACAATGATACAGGCAATACTTCATATACATAAATGAGGCATGGTGTAAGCGCTGGTGGCCGAACCCCACATGTTGCCTCACAGTCCCGTTTAAATAATAAACGGTCAACAAGAAACAGTCAGACACGCGTGCCAAACTTCATGGAGCGTGTAGTGGATCGTCTTGTATCATCTATTGAGGACCACAGTCGTAAGCGTGGTAAAAGTTCCGCCACCCCTCAGTCGGTTGAGAAGGAGACATCCCAGGACAAATGCATTGATTTACTTGGAGAGTTGGACATACCTCAGGATCAATATATTTTCATGTTCAACTATTTGAATGCTCATGATACACTGCATCGGTCGTTTTTTAGCATGAAGGAGCATCACCGATTGGCTTGGATCCAACAGACCATGGAGCAACATGCAAATCAGCAAGTGTCGCCTCCACCACCAACCTTTATGCCTGGATCACAGTATCCCTTTCAGTCTAGCCATCCAATGAACCAACATCTCTCACACAACTTCCATCCGAACACCAACACCTTCCAACCGACCACTAGTAATTTTCAACCATACATGCCACCAAACTTTCCACCATATTCCGGCCGAGATGGAAGAGATAGCAGTTGACGTCCATATTGGTGGCCTTCATGTGATCTTCTTCCTTGTTATTTTTTTTTATTTCATTCCTTGCACTATATGATTCTGAGACATTGATACTTGAGCTAGTTTTAGATGCATATTAACATTTGGTCCAATTTTGGGTTATTTGAGGACCACGGCTATTTAGTATGTTTTTAAACATTGTTGGCCTTGTTGTACTTTATTTGTGAACCACGGACAGTTAGAGTGATTGTTTAATGAGTATTTATTATTAATGACATCTAGTAGATGACTAATATTACTTGAACAGGTGGTGATCAAATGCTTCATTTTTGCGTACTTCTTAAACCCCTAAACTTTCATGTTATTGGTTAGAAACTTTGACAAGTATGGCTCACCATACGGCCGGCAGCCCAATGGACTCTGACGCATCAGACGACGATAGTGATGATTGTTGGTCCCCGGATCGAATCCGGATGCGGAAGCGTGGTGGTGCGGGGAAGAGGCGGATCGTGTATAACAAAAATTTTCACAAAACTTTTGAGATACTCTATAGATTATATTAATT